GAATCGAGAAGTGGTTTGACCTAAGTATGTGGCTACCACCACTGGAACGTTAGACCACAGCCATTTTGTTGAGAGATGCTTCATTTTCTGGAACCAAATTGAAAAAAGTTTGTTTCAGGACTCACCAACTCCTGGATCAGATTTTCTTTTTGTGGTGATGGTGGTGCAGGAATTGACATTGAAATCCACTTTAAAAAAAGTAGAAAAAAAAATCCCCAGTGTTAGTTGGGATTTATTGCTATTTCAACATCTCGCCTTAATGAACTAACCAGGTGCTGGAAGTAGCAGGAAAGGTCAGTGACTGTGGATAGAGAATCATGGTTTAAAAAATTCTGCTTGGGAGAAGGAATGTCATCAGAGTTCATTCATGTGCTGTTTAGTATGAGGAAAACATAAGGAATACAGATTTTGTGGCATAAGAAGGCAGTTGGAAGTGCTCTCATACCATTGCCTTAAGGAAAAGGTTGAAGATGCTAAAGGATGCAATACTAAGTGTAGTTACAGCCGTATATCATTTATGTGTTGTTTAACATAGAGATAACTGGGAGAGCACTTGCTGTGTGATTTCAAGTGGATAGTAAAAAAATTGGGAGACCTCAACTCTTCCAGTTGACAATATTCTAAGGACAAAACAGACTTCTTGTGTGATATCTTGAGATATATTGTTCAGATATACATTTTTTGAAAGGAGGGATGCTTGTCTGAAAAAAGTGTAAATGTTTAAGAAGAAAATGAAATTGCTTGAAAAGAAGACCTGGAAAATGATATAATCTCTAAGAAGGAAAAAAATACTTAGTGCCAAAGAATAAATTTTATTGTAAGGACTGTTTTTGCTACCACCAGCAATCAGCCAGGTAGAAAAAAGCAACATTTCATAGCTGTCCAACTAGCTGCACTGTGCTGCTAATAACTAAATGTACTTACACGTGGAAATCCTTACAATAACTACTGAGCTGCTTCTCTATATGTGCAGTAGTACATGGAATAGCTGGTAAAGCAACCTAGTTACTAATTTAGAAATCCCAGGTACTCAGTAATGGACTCAAGCTGGACTGTGGTCAGGGATTTGCTGACCATGGTAGCCAACTGCCTAAGTTGTCAGGCATTTATTCTGTGGAGTTTCTGAGTGGGGAAAAACCAACCCAAACTTTTTGGTTAAAATATACCACAGTGGTAGATGCTGAACAGAAGTATTGGAGCTTGAAGAGTGATGTTAATATATGCAGGTTGAGGGTGTGTATGAACCACACGTACAGTATTTCTGAATATTGCACAGCAGCAGTTACAGTAACCCAACTGGTCAGGAGAATTAGGAAATATATCTAGATGTCCATTATCATGGAGAGACGTCGGAGATATCAATATAGGATGTTATTTTGACCATTGTTTTGGCTGTCTGTTTATCTTATCAGCCATAAGAGAAAGTCTGACTAAAGAGTGGTACTCGCTATCACTTAAAGATACAGGACCTATCTTCCCTTTGCTGTTGCCTCTAGCTGATGCAGCCCTCTGGTTATCTTATGAAGGACTAGGAAAGAGCGATGTGCTCTGCCCATTGGAGCTGACCACGCTAGTCATGCTGACCACGAGCAACATGGCACCCGACTCTCCAGGATATTACGACATCAGCACGATTATAGTGATCATCTTTATCCTACTGGACCCAGGACACTTGGTGTTTGTGTTGATAAAGGTATTGGGATTATCATTATATTGTTATGGTTTGCCAGTACTGTGATTCTGTCTATAGGCACTTTTCACTTTGGTCCTGGATATATGGTAATGACTCGATCTTTCCAATGGGGGAAAATTTTGAATTTTACAGATACTGTATTTTTTAAGTCATAATTTCTTAAAATGAAAGCATTCCTATTGAGTGGTTGCAACAAAATTAAAAAGCAGACTACCTTTAGTTCTGTATAGTTCTGTTCTATGCATTAAAAGCACCGCAAATGCTATACAAAGCTGTAAATTTTATTATTTTAAAAAGATGTATCTGAAAGTTTGATAATTTTTGCCCATTGAAAAGATCAAGTTATTACTGTAAAGTGAATGTTTCTGTGAAGAGGAGACAGGGATGGAGGGAGGTGGTGGAAAAAAATATGTATAAAGTTTTAGAATATATTGTAGTTAGTTTGTCATTATAAAATCCATAACCTCATTATTCTGCATACAACCTAGGGGCAATTAATGGTATATACATAACATATATAATATTCCCATGGGCAAAATAGTTTGGTCAAAAGACCAACATCAACTGCTATAAAACATTTAACATTTGTGTTGAAATATCACGTAGTACAACTTGGGAAGATTCATTAGGAAAACTACATGGGAATTCAATTGTCGTGGAATGGGAGGCATTTGGTAGTAGTCTGAAAGTGTGTGCTTTTCTTGTGGTTAGGAATGTGGCAGTAAATAGAGTATAGGTTACCAGGTATATATGTATATATTATATATACACATTAAGGTTTACCTGTGTACTAAAGAGAGAATGTCAAGATTATGAAGTTAATTGGGATAAAATTTGTAGCCCAAACAATTATTTGAGCTCAACTAACAGCAGAAATGCATTAAAATTTTTTTTAAAAAAACTTATTATTATCATTTTTTTTATCAACAGCCAAATCAAAATGTTTTAGCCTTTGGCAGTATTCACTTAACTATATACCTGCACATTGGCTACCTGAAGCTATAGCTGACATGGCTATCATTCCCAATAGGTGTGGATATGTTTGTTTTAGTTAGGGCAAGGAACATACTGAGAGAAGAAGAAATACCCCAGTCATGTTCATTCTGGCTCTGATAAATCACCTAACTAGAATCGACCAGACAAGAATATGCCTGTTCACTTTAAGTATCAGGGAGAAAAAAATATGACAAGGCCACTTTACCTGCACTGAGCCAGTCTGTATGTCAGTTCACATCAGGTTCAATTTAGATAGGGAATAAACTAATTGACATCACCACGCAACCAGATTACATAAGGAGATGTATCACACCTTTCACCTTTAAACACCACTTATACAATTTGGCTGTCTGGTTATATCAGTTAATTAATTTCCGGTCTAAGTTAATCTTGATGTGAACCTGCTTGAAGATATTATGAGATGTTTATTTTACAGCCCCACAGGTAATATCCCCATACATTAGATTTTCACGACTCATTACCTCCCTCACCACACCTAGATCAACTCACCTTTTATATTTTCCCCATTTTGTGTATTATCACAAGCAGCCATTTAAGACGATAAGACTGCTCTCCATAGTTGATTAACCTTTTGCAGAATTTCTAAAGCTCATAAGTTAGGGAAGTAGATGAGTTTTGATGAATGAAACATTTACTCATTACAGGGAATTTTTTTTTCCAACTTGTTTCCTTATTTAGGACATTCAGTGCTAATATTTTGTCTCAGTTCACCAAAATAATGAACTTGATAAACCCTTGTTGAGATTCAGACATTGGGACATGCAAGTCATGTTGAAAAAGAGTCTGTCTTTTTAGTTAGCCAATTAATCAAAAATGCACTAAGGGAAATGCATTTCAACCATTGTTAATGTGCACGTATCTGTATGTCTAAGACAATGCATCATATTAATATTCCTATCTTGAGTGCAGTATGTATATATAAATATATATAACAAAGCAAAGTTATATTTCAATTAGACATGATATTCTATTTCCCGAATAAGTTCCCCAAAGAAATTTAAATAAAGGTATTACCTAGCTTGCACATTATATTCAGGTGGCATTGTTGCTTTTTATCAAGTGGATTGATTTACAAGATTTTTTTTGTGTAATTTTGGATTAGCTTGACATCAAGACCATTATACACCTAGGACTTGGGCATTTGTTTACAGTTGCTAAGAGATAGCTATCTAGATCTGAAAATTTTAAGACCTTTTTACATATCTATGACTATTGTTTGTCAATCTTACTGGAAATTTTATCCATTTGAAAAGATTGTGTAATTTATTTTATAATGAGGTTTGTTAAATTCAGCAAATGCCTGGTTAATAATAGTCAGAGAAACAGGCATACCAAACAATAACTTTTCTTCAGAGAAGATTTGAATATGCTTTACTGTTATTTTATTTTCTAGTAATAGGATCCACAAAAACATTCAGAGCCCTGTCTGTAAGATTTTGATATTATATTATCTTGTATTTAGATGTCATTTTACATATATTTTATTTTTGGACCTCAGATGGAAAAGTAAGCTTGAGAATTGGAGATAAAGTTACCATAAATATGTTGCTTAATAAACAGTAAGTGTATAGTATAGTGTAGTATACATTTATATTGTGGTAAGTTTTGAGATAAAAAGATTTCTATGTCCCTGGTTTTATAAGTCACTCATTCCCATTCTTAGAAAAAAAACTATTAGGTGAATGTTATTTCGAGTTGGTCAACTATACCCATAAACAAGTTGGTTTGAAGTACTGTTCATGTAATGTCATCATAATATGTAGTTTGTAAATATCTTATAATGTTAAAATAAAAATGAAAGGTTTATGTTTGTGGACTTCGCATTTTTGAATCTAGATTGGTAAACATCACTTACATTACGTTAAGAATCAGTAAATTGTTTAGATCTAGTTGACAACCAAAATAACATTAGTGGCTTACACCCTGGCATATATTGCAGACATTATTCTTCTTTGTTGATGGCACATACTCATTTTATTAAATTTATGCTATATGTACTGTATGCATTTTGAAAAAGGATGTGTTATAATGAAGATTTGATATATCAAGACATGAACAGAGAAAAGTAAAAGGTCAAAAGTTCTTTCTGGAACTTTCTGTCTGTATTCTTTTGCCAAATTGCCAAGAAATTTATGCATAGTGATAAATATGCATTTAATAAAACTTCCTTGTTTTCTTGAAAGGATATACTCTCTCTACATATAAGAATCCATCTTCTGGGTTTTTTGGAATATATACTTAACTTTGATAGTTTGCTTTTGAAATATGTTTCCTTTTTTTTATCTTTTAGGTAATCACCTGGATTCGCAATGGAGAATCCATGCTTACTGCCAGCTTTATGTGTCCTACAGCACTGCATGAGGCTGAGCAACTGAAGAAGGAACATGAACAGTTCCAAGTTGCTATCGAGGTAACACACTGACCTTGGGATAAATACATAGTTTTTTAACATTAAATATGGCATTTTTCTAAGAAAAGAAAATTTACTGATATTTAATGTGGGAATTCGCTGGGAATTTCATCTGTTTTCTTGGTAGCCTGTAGAATTAACAGCAAGATTAGGTATTCAAGTGTAAACCAGTGATTGTTCAAGTATACCTTTTACAAATTCTTACCCCTGCTTTCCTATGTCTGGAAAGTTGGGCTTTTTGTTTACTTTTCATTTTTTTTCTATTCCATTTCTGTTTTTTGTTAAACAATGATGGCTTTAATTTCAGTGTTTAGGCATTCCTTTTCTGAAAGCAGTGTTCTGTTTGACAGTTCTTAAATTGAAAATTGTTTATTCCACCAAGCTATTGACATGGTGTATCTTTCTTGAATATCGTTTACATGGAGCTCACCTAATTTTTTTTTTTAAGTTGGTGATTTAATTGCATGCAGATGGCAATATTTTACAAACATTTCAAACACTGATGTCATGATTTTATATTAAAAATGGAAGATGCTGTATCAGGATCAAAATTTTGACAAATAATTTATTTGCACTGATATAGAAATGACATTGTATCTATTCTATATCTTGCTTATTAAGGATAACATCCAGGGGATCTTGGAAGTTGTGTTAGACACCCTCTGATATTTGATGACATAAATACAAAAATATCATCAAATATCATCAAATACCCTCTGATATTTGATGATATTTTTGTATTTATGTGAAATATAGTACAGTGTAAAATCTTTTCCTTGTAATAAAACCATGTAAATGGCCCATTTTTGACAAGATGTTGTATGGTACTATGAATTTAATTTATAATCACTTAAAAAAGTTTTTTTTCATAAAGTGGGACATAAAGTATGTATTTTTGTGAAATACATACTATCACACAGTCTACTCATAGAAAAGTGGATGTGGACTTTTAGTTGAAATCTTTCTCTTTATGTAGGCAGGTTTCATGTGTCCCCACACACATGTACGCACGCACGTTCACACACATGCTGTTTATGATTTCACACTTTTGGATTCATTTCATGAGAACATATCGTTCTTGCAGAAAACCCACGTAAGTGCCCTGCAGGTGACACAGCGTGCGGAGCAGATGCTGGAAAGCCACCATTACAACAGCGAGCTGGTCCGCTCCATTGCTGAGAATGTCACCTCAAAATGGCAGCAACTCATGTACCATGCAGAAGAGAGGCACAAACTAGTGATGGCCTCCATGAACTGGTACAAAACTGCAGAACAGGTGAGATTTTTTTTTCATTTTGAGTTTCAACTAAGATGAAATTTAAAAAAAATTTTTTGGGCAAAATCTAGCTCCATTTTGGTATCAGATGGAGACATGTCTGCCTGTACACTGGATCTAAGTATCCATATCAAGCAGGTGTGATTATAAAATTAATCCTATATTGTTTAAAACAAAGATGTTTGAAGAGATCCAGGATACAGACCAGCTTCTCAGCTGAGTACAGGGATGAAGTAAAAATGGTTCTAATAATATGTAAGTGCAAGGGTTGGTCATGAAGGGTATGTTCTATTGTTTTAAATTTATGCATATAACTAAGAATCTAAGAGACTTGTGTATAGTTTTCAGCTAATTTACTGATCGCCACTTAGAGCGCATTCTCAACGAAGTAAGCCAGGCTTTACAAAGCCGGTGACCTAAAAATGGCGGACGTACATGAAAGAAAAACCGCCTAATCTTTTAATAGTCTCTCCGCCTCTCACACGCCTCCCCACACGTCGTCCCTGCGGGGTACAGTAATTAAATCTCGGCTCCGAACATTTATATTTCCGTGAATATCTCTGGTGATATTATCTCCGTAGATAGTCGATTCATTGCTGCTCTACGGGCCAAATTATTCCTTTTCGTCTCTGTTTTCAAAGATAATAGAACAGAAGAGCTTTTTTCCTTCGATCGCCCTCAGCCGCAATGCTTTCTTCACCACGAGTTTAACTGATGAGCATGCGCACTTAATATTTCTCAGGTAGCTTCCGCATGGCGAACGGAGACGCGATTTAATTACTGTACCCCGCAGGGACGACGTGTGGGGAGGCGGAGAGACTATTAAAAGATTAGGCGGTTTTTCTTTCATGTACGTCCGCCATTTTTAGGTCACTGGCTTTGTAAAGCCTGGCTTACTTCGTTGAGAATGCGCTCTTAAAAAGTTTTTGATGTCATTGTGATGAAAACTGTCCCTGTTGGAACTCCTTATGGTTTTAAGTTTATCTGGCATTATCAAAAGATAGGAAAATGTGGTCAAATTAACCTCAGATAATATCTAGAATGGTTTCAGTGAGATCTGTCCAGAGATAGGTCACCCTTTTCCACACTAGATAGTGATCAAGTCCATTGTGGCCTCCAGGTGTATTGTTGACATTATATTGTACTTACACAAGTAACACAAGTGTTAGGAGAAACATGGTCATCAGCTGTGCTGGAGAAGACAAGGGTAGGTTTTTGCCTTGATCCTCATGTGTGCGTTTGCACATGCACAGACATACATACACATGTGTTCATGTGCATGCATGTGCCCACAGTACGATATACACATCTAGGTCTATAGATCTCATTCTTTACTTTGATTCCAGCATGTATGCTCACTATTAAAGAGATCAGAACACAAGTTCAGATGTGTTGTGGTCTTGTGTAACAGACAAGGCAGATCATCCAGGCAGTGTGTCTGTGTTGGAAAGCATACACATGTTCTCACAGTCTGCTTACTATTATCTGTGCTATTATTTCAGGTATGCTGGGAGCCAGATAGTCCTGAATGGGAGTAAAAGTTGCAGGAACAACTGTCAATGTGTGAGTATACATGTGGACACATCTTCTCATTTTCTGTGTTCTTCCTTTCCTAAGGTGTGTTCAGTATTGGAGAGCCTGGAGCGTGAATATAGGAGAGATGAAGACTGGTGTAGCACAGACAAGGCAGACCAGGCAGAGAAGGGGGCATACCTGGTGCAGTTAATTAACAAACACTTAGAACAAAAAGAGGCATTTCTCAAGGTAGGCTGAAAAGTGTAATTATGTTGATTAGGCATTTGACTAAAAAGGATGCATTTCTCATGGTAAGCTGAAGTCTAATTATGTTGTTATAGCTTAACACTTGGCGAAATGCTGCTGCTGCTGCTTGACTGAAACATCTACAGGAAGTTGATGTTTTTAACTGAATTATTGGAACTTGATAACAGGAAATTTTTGAATTGATTTGATTATACTGTTTTCAGTCTGGTTCCACACTTCCATAAAAATGTGAATTATCCCAGAAAATATTTCATGAAGTATTTCAAAAATTGAATGAGGTCCCGACTGCCCTACAGAAATAAATAAATAAATATCACTGTTGGACACTTGTTTTATTCCATTTCAAATTATTTTTTTTCCTTTCTCCAGGCCTGTACTCTTGCCAGAAGAACTGCCGAGACCTTCCTGAAGTATGTACACAGGAATGTTCACCAACTGGGCATGCAGATGAAATCTGCCAGTCCAGAGCAACAAGTCAAAGGTAAGAATTTATGTAAATATACACAAGGAAGGAGAGAAAAGAGATAGAATGAAGAAGAGAAATGTTTTTAAAAAGCTTAATGCATTAAAGTTATAAGTATGGATGTATTCTCACATTGTAGGCCCTAGATTTGACATGATTAGCTCAAGAAATTGATTCTTTTATTTTCCCTTGGATATATCTGATCTTGAAAAGAGGTGTGAACAGTTCACATAGAAAATAAAATAAAATAAAATAAAATAAATAAATAAATAAATAAATAAATAAATAAATAAATAAATATATATATTTTTAGAACATTTACATAGCCCGTAGCCAGCATTATCAAAGGGGGGGGGGGGATCTTTTTTTCCCCAGCAAAAAGGACACCTTGTTCGAACCCTTACAACCCCCCTTGGCTACAGACCTGTTTACTAAACATGTTCCTTTCATGTGTGCTGCTCCCGAATGCTGAAGACCTGGTATGTAATATTTGTGTCTTTATTTATGAAATGAAAATAATTGTACTGAAAAACATGTGTTCCTAATTTTTTTCCAGCCACGTTGGAGCAACTCCTTCAACATGAAAATATGGTGCTCGAGTTCTGGACATTACGCAAGAAGAGACTTGACCAGTGCCAACAGTTTGTACTTTTTGAAAGCAGTGCTAAACAAGTGAGTAGCTAGATTTCAGTAACTGTGAGGAATAATGTCAAATATTACATTTATTATATTTATTTATTTATTTATTTATTATATTATATTTAGCAGATATGCTGTATGCACGTAAGACAAGTATTCCTATAGCCATTCCTACAAACATTATATTATAATTGGGTACCTTGGATAAATATATGAATTCCATAACAGGTTAGTGAATGAACGTACCCATTTAAAATTCTGTACATGGAGTGGCAATATCCCTGTTTTAAATATACAGGGACTGTTGGCACAATATAACATCTGTTCACAAGTCTATAGATTCCTGTAAAATATTATTTGTCTGTCTTAGGCACTTGAATGGATCCATGACACTGGTGAGTTCTATCTCTCAACTCACACAAATGTGGGAGAAAACTTGGAAGAGACAGAGACCCTGCTCAAAGAGCATAATGAGTTCAAAGCCACAGCTAAGGTTAGTCTGCCATATATGTAGCTGTCATTGTGTTAGTTGTGAGAGAACAAGCATCGTGGTGGTTGTGACAGGTTGTGTTGTCATTGTGTGGAATATCACAATAGACATATCTGTGTCCATTTCTATCAGGGCAGCTATGGATTCTCTCTACATATATTTTTATTATATGAAAAAATACTGACAGAAACATTTGCCTTCATTTCAATTAAAAACAGAAATAAAAATTAAATTATAATGATAATTGCACATTTAGCCAATGTAGCATAATCATGCAAAATGCTTGGATTTTGAACCAGATTTACAGAAAACAAATATCTAATATTTTTTGTTTGTTTGTTTACAGGAGACTAGAGAAAAAGTGAAACTGTTACTCCAGCTGGCAGACAGCCTGGTGGAGAAGGGCCACGCCCATGCAGGCAGCATCAAGACATGGGTGGCCACAGTGGACAGCAGATATAAGGACTTTGCCTCCAGGATGGAGAAGTACAGAGTTAAACTGGAGACCACCCTGGGAGTACATTCTCCAGAGGTATGTGTGATCAATTATAACTCCCATTTGGATTGTAACCTTTCATTTTGCTAAAAGTGATTAATTTTTTTTCTCTTGTTCATTTGGTAATATGCTGACTTGTATCCTGAAAATAGCAATGAGAAAATAATTTTGTTGAATATTTCAGCAAAAATATTTTAATTTTAATTTATTCTTTTTCATTTACAGACAAACCCTTTTAATATACTTATTTAAGTTTGTGTTATTTCTAAATTTTAGTGTGAAAATGAAAACAGGCAGAGTGACCCAAATCTTGAAGAAAAGCTTCAGCAAACAGCCAAAGAATTAAATGAAGAGAAAAGAAAGTCAGCCAGAAGAAGGGAGTATGTTGTCCTTTTTATTTATTTATTTATTTGATTTAGGTCTTTATTCAGGGATTTACTGTATTACTTTCTTTAAAAAGTATGTTGATTTTCAAAAAAAAAAATTATTTTTTTCAGATTTGAAGATTATCATGAGCTATTTTATGCATTTTCTTGCCCCTGCTCTTTTGCAGGTTCATAATGGCTGAACTTCTTCAAACAGAAAGAGCATATGTTAAAGACTTAGAAACGTGCGTCAAACAATATTTAGCAGAGATGCTGGATCCAAATAACACAAACATTCCTACAGCCATTCGGGGCAAGCATAATATTATATTTGGGAACATAGGAGAAATATATGAATTCCATAACAGGTGAGTGAATGAAGATAGAGGTGGAAAGTATTATCTTTATCTTAATGGACATGACTCTTAGCTTAAACTCTGTTTCTTTTATGAATAAAAAGGTTGTTATTATATGCTTTAGAATTGAATGTAGATTTAGATGGAAAAATGATTAAAAAATACCTGTAGCAAAATTTTACCCTTTTATGATATCAATTTTGTCATATCCTTTAAGAATTTTTAATGATTATTTTGAAATTTCATTCCTATGCTCCAGTATCTTCCTTAAGGAGTTAGAAAAATATGAGACACTTCCAGAAGATGTGGGGCACTGTTTTGTCACCTGGGTAAGACCAACTCAGAAATATTGTTAGTCAAAAGTAATTTTTTTCTAGAATAATGCAATCATTTTTTGAATCAATAATTCTTTTGATGAAACTTAATTTGTGTATTTTAAACTTTAAAAGGCTTTGAAAGCAATGTCAACATACATAAATTTCCATCAGATTTCAAAAATTGTCAGTTTTGTGATTTAACATTACAAAATGTATACTTTTTTTTAGGCTGAAAAGTTTAATATATATGTGACTTATTGCAAGAACAAACCAGAATCTAACAATTTCATAGTACAACATGCTGGAAACTTTTTTGAGGTATAGTATTGTTTGTCTTAAGCATGTTTCCACATATTGTATATTGAATATGCAAATAAGCAATATTAAACAATGCTGTTTATTTTATTAATTAATATATGTGAGAAATAGACATTCTTATGAAACTGCATCTATCCCACTACAGACATTCTATGAGAAGTTATAATTGAATGTCTGTAATGGAAAGATAAAACATGATAAAATGACAATGACCAAGAAAACATTGAATCAAACTTTATGTATTTCTATTTTAAAGTACATCATTTATCTGTAAATCTATTTTAAAAGAAGAAAAAAAGGGTTTCTCTTTCTTTTACGTCAGGAGCCAGAAAAATCGGCTTGCTTACCTTAAAGCTGTTTCTTTATGTAAAAAAAATTTCTACTCCAGAAAACCCAGCAGAAATACAACATCAATGGTCCAATAGCTTCCTATCTGATCAAACCTGTACAGAGGATCACCAAATATCAGCTGCTACTCAAAGATCTCATTTCATGCTGTGAGGAGGGGAAAGGAGAAATCAAGGTGAGATTATGCTGTTCACAATGCAAAATGTCCGTAGTCACTAGTCTGTGTCTGATCATTTGTAGATTAAAATGTTTCCACGTGAGCCGTAGATGTGATCAAGTCAGCAGAGAAGTTGGATGAAGAAGTTCTCAATCAAAGGTTTTTTGTGGATCTGTTAAAAATGAACTTTCGTTCAGCGTGCATGCATTTTTTCCACAGATTTTTGTCCAGCTTGCTTTCTGGTATTAGTGTTAGTATGTAATAGTGTTCAGCTGCAAGTAGGGGCAGTTTACCATTGGAGATGTAAAAGTGTCATTTGAAGTCAGCCTTTCTTATTCCATTGGAGACCCTGAGTGGCTGGAGATATAAGCTATATCTATCTCTGGTATTTCAGGATGGACTGGAGGTGATGTTAAGTGTGCCAAAGAAAGCCAATGATGCCATGCATTTAAGTATGCTGGAAGGTATAGAGGTAAGTGAGGATGCCTAAGTCTTTGATCTGTATTTTCTTGGAAATGAGGTTCTTCTTCCTTCTCTGTTTTCTTTTTTATTGACAGCTAAGCATAAAATTATGGCTAGAGGGTCATAATAGAGATCATGACAATCTCAAATATTGAAGTGACAATTATTAACTCAGGTTATTAACAGCATCATATGTGTACATTGAGAAATGTGAAAAATTCTCCGTTTTAAGAAGTTAAAAAAACTATTGGTAAGTTGACAAGCCTGTGGCCATCTTGGGTCTATGGCCTTCCTCAGGCTGATACTGAGATAACTGACCACAGTGGATAATTGACCATGCTGCACAAGTAAATAACTGACCATAATGGATAACTGACCACAGTGACCACAGTAAATAATTTGCCCCAGCTTATAACTGACTATGATGACCACAGTAGATAACTATTATGACCACAGTAGATAACTATGATGACCACATCATAATCATTGTCCAGAAGAACATCTCATTTTAAAGTATACAGATATAAAGCTGATGACTCTCTCCTGCTCAATACCATATTCTTTAACTGAAAAATTAATCATAATTTAAAATTTGTATAATTTAAAATTTTGTGTTCATTCAATCTCTTGCTATATCTCCCTCCAGGAAGATCTGGAAGTGTTGGGGGAATGTTTTCTCCAGGACAGATTTACGGTGTGGGACACCAAACAGATTATAAAAAAGGGGAGGGACAGGCACATCTTCCTCTTTGATATGTGCCTCATATTTGCCAAAGAGTACAAAGACAGCAACGGAAAAGCCAAGTATATCTTTAAATTTAAGTTAATGGTAAGTATGCATCTTAACTTTTGCCTTCTTGCCATGCAAAGTTTGAAGTGAATTTAGAAGAAATAAAAAACAAAACCTTTGCTTTATGTCTTATATGTATCAACAAGTGCAAAAACAGTTAAAAATATTTCTTTTAATTTAAATTAATAGTTAGTAAAGTTCAGACACCACTGCAATTCAGTCCCTACTTTAACTTATCAAATTTTGATATGGCATTTTATCCATTTGACTGGTTATTGATCACTTATATAATTGTGTTTTCATCCACTTCTAAACCCAAGAGTCATTGAAAATGCATGTAAGATAAACAGTTGTGTGTCCCAAAGTCCATATTAATTCTGTCAAAAAAGGATCTTCACAACTTTTCTTGGTTGAGAAGATCCTGGCTGATAAACAATTTGAAGGAAAAGAAACTGCTGTGGGACATCTTCTATGAATAGAATTAACTCTCTGGGCTGTTTCAGACTAGTGAGATCAATATCACAGAGCACATAGAAGGAGATGAGTGTAAACTTGCCCTTTGGACAGGTGTGGTCCCTGTGGCAGACTCCAAAATTGTTCTCAAGGTAAGATAGATCTTTAGTTGTTAACAATTTTTTTTGCCTCTCAAAACTTAGGATTTATAAGTTTTACTCTTACTTATTGAGACCTTAAGGTTTCCGTATTTGAATTTTGATCTTGATACATTTGATGATTCTGCAGCTTATGTGAAAGCAGTGCTTGATGATAAGTTATCAAGTATTTTATAGACTTCCATTATTTTAAAAGAAAATCTTTGAGGGTGTTGTTTTCCACCTATCAGGCCAGCTCATTAGAAACCAAACAGCAGTGGGTGAAAAAGCTAAGAGAATTGATTCAAGAAAGGATGATGTTCCTCAGCACTGCATTGAACGAGCCACTGACAAAGTTCAAGCCAGCAAGCAAGACATTCAGTGCCAGCCAGAGAAGCAGCAGGTGTGTATCTCTCTCTCTCTCTTTCTCTCTCTCTCTGCACAAAAAGAGTGAAGAAATTTTGCTTTTAACATGTTAGATTATGATGATGATAACAACAGTTTAGATGGAAATGCTAATAGACTGAATACCTACAATAAAAAATACATGTAATTGATGGATAGATAGAACACTGAAATCAATTTTTTTTGCATTGCCAACTCTGAAACAATATTTCATACAACAATTAGTGATTTATTCTGTTACCTTACTAGATGATGTAACAATGAAATGTTATCACATAAAACCACATAAATAAAAAGATAAATACTGTATTAATAGAAAGGATCTACTGCTTCATATGCAGTAGTGTTAAGATTACAAGATAAACATTACTACTTGTCAGATTGCCAAATATGCATTATATTGAATTGTGATACATGCTCTCTGTGAATTGTTTCAATCATATACACACTGGTGCCAAATATTCATTACATTAATTGGCAAGGTCATTAAATTGATTGCTTCGTGCATTGTTCACTTGCTGTATTATATACTGGATGTGTTTGGTAAGGTTTATACCGCCTATTAGATAATTTCCACCAGTTTGGAGGTTTTCTAAATGTATATACCTACCTTTCAACAGATGTGAAAGCATTGCAGAATCCTATTTGGAATAGGCAGAAGGTAAATAAATGATTATACCTGTAAAATGTTAACCCAGTTTTCAGCAAATGACGGCTGTTGTAATGAATTTCTGTGGAAACAAGCTGCTATGTTTGGCAGCAGCTTGCCTTCACAATATCTCCCTCTTATATAAAATTCTGCTGGCAGTTAGAATCCATCATGCTTCTTATCTTATCCAATGAGGATAAGTTGTTAAAGACCCCTGGATCAATTAACATCATAATAGATGGAACGCATGTGCAAGAAAAATAATCGTCAGGTGGAATCATAATTTTTCAAGAGTAAGTTGATTTGATATTGAATATATCTTAATTAGTAGTTATATGATGTGGAAAGCATTCGGTAATGGTTGACTGACAAATCCAATTGCTATCTCAGTTCAGTAATGTTTTATTCATCACACAGTAAATACATCCTTGTGAAAAGATAATAATAAGCCATTAATTGAAGCTCTATATATTAAGAAAAGATAAATTGGGGATAATAAACAAGACATTAAGTACCTAAAAAGTCCAGTTTTTTTTTAATTTTCTATTCATTAAGCTCAGCTTGTGATGTCCAGCAGGGTTAGACCACACACAGCTGTTTATTTATGAGACACAAACGTACTTGCTAGTGCTGGGAAAATGTATTTCAAGTCTCAGTGCCTTTCGTTTTTTTTTTTTTTTGTCTATACTGAACAATGTTACATTTTTATACCTGTAAGGAACATTTGTATCAGACCAGCATATATATGAATAATATACTGTTAAGTTCAACTGCAAGTCTACATGTAAGGCTATATTGTGGAACTCCCAAATTCTGTGGCTAAAGCTACTTTTAGAAACCTAATGTATTTTAGAGCTTCTAATCCTCAGGTTGAAGGTATTTATGCATACCTAGACTGAAAGCCAGTAAAATGTTTTACTTTTGCTTCATTTTCTACAGAAATAGACTCATAGAAGTCAGAAAAATGGAGGTGCTTGCTAACTTACTGATTGGTTTTAGGATAAACCATGTGATTTTACTTAGAAATATTACTCCAGACTTTTGAAATAATGCAAGCTGATATGTTGTGCCATTTTTCTCCATATATTCATGCACAGGCACTGCTTACATAAGCTGTATGCGTGAAAACGTGAAAACGTTTACTTCATACCCTTATATAATATAGCTCAGTAAATGTCGCTTGCTGGCAGCTCTTGATAGTTTCTACTTACCAGATGCAAGGTTAGAGGGAAATGTCAGATTTGGTTGATGTACTGAAGCTGCCATTCAGAACAATCCTGTTTCCCTCTTTTTTTTCATCAGTACTGTTCACTTGGCTCATAGCAATACAAAATAACATTCATCATATATGAAAATAATAATTTGCTATGAGTTGTTTACAATGTATTTATAGTGAAATATGGATATCATACGGACAGCTGTTGTCCCTTAAAATGTTTCTCTTTTCCTCTAGACAAAATATCAAATTTGTTGTATTGGATAATTTTTTTACCTTTTTATGATGCCAAAAAATATTGTACTCAATCAGTAAGTTGATTGCTTGTATAAATGCTATGAACTCGATGCCTACACAGCCATTGCCACTTGTCCAGAGGTCGAACCAAAAGCAACATTTATTTTGACCCCATTTTATACCCTTCCAAGGTTGTTCAGAAGCTGGGTAATAACCAACCAGAATGCTATACTATATCTGATTGACTTGAGCTCTGTGATTCACATCAGTAGACATGCAAAGAGCATGTTGTTCTAGGTAATTGCTCGGCTATTGACCTTTGGTCAGGAGAACAACTAGTTTGCTAATTAAGTTACAACACAACCCTGGATCCATGCATGCAGTCATGTGAGAAAATAACCAAATGAAGAAAAAGCGTATTATGTGTGTAGACTCATAAGTCTTTTTATATGTAAGAACATTTTAAGTTCAACACTGGTTAGTTTGCCTTTGAAACACGGTAAGCAGACAGCAGAATTTAATTTTTGGCATCAAGCAAGTTATTTAATTTTTGTTTAGAGAGTTACGAATGCTTTAATGCTGAATTTAGATTTAGTTTAATGATACAAAAATATCAGCTAGGCATTTGCATATTCTGCTATATTTTGTTTGTACATAACAAGTACCTCTACTATGAAGTTAAACTGAAAAAAAAAAGTCTTCTGACACAACAGACCAAACCACCATGATCGCGCACAACCTGATTTTTATATATGTTGTACTTATTGTGTGCTGGGACAATTTTTTTGACATTTGTCAGGTTTCAACTGTGCCAACACTTATTTTCTAATGTTCAATATTGAGATTTTTTTGTCTACACAGCACTGTGAATAAAGATCATATAGAAATATCATTGTACATTTAGAACAGTGGACTAACAGATCCGCAGATTAAAGGGATAATAACTTTTTGTATGAATGTAAAAATGGATTCATTAACCATTGGTAAGTATAGGAAAATTGTCGTTTACTCCAGGAAAATTCATTTTTTGGCCAAAACGAAGAGTTATTATCCCTTTAAATATGGCCGGCCCACTTGCATGCTTGTTGCATAATCCCTGAAGGAAATCTATTTATGTCTAATCGGGAATTAAGCATCAAGCTTTTTAGTGGGTTGCCATATTTGATCCACAGAACTGTTAGACCGCATTCACATCGAGTTTAGCCATGGCTCTACAAAGCCACGAACTAAATATGGCGGATTTACATGAAAGGAAAACCGCCTAATCTTTTAATAGTCTCTCTGCCTCTCACACGCCTCCCCATGCATCGTCCCTACGGGGGTACAGTCATTAAATCTCGGCTCCATTGGGACGACACATGGGAAGGCATATTTAGTTCGTGGCTTTGTAGATCCATGGCTCAACTTGATGTGATTGCGGTCTTAGTCTGCTGTTGTGAATGCGCTCATTGGCTCACTCTGACATGTATTTCATTTTAGACCAGCTAGTTTTAAGAAATCAGGATCAAATCAGCTCTTATCTTTATCAATGAGAAATGCTGAAAATAATAAAAATATTAGTCATTTATTTTAACTGGGCTGAAGTGCACTTATTGGTGAAAATATGACTTGTTGGTGCAAGTTTTGAGCAATAGAACTTAAATATCCTTGTTCACAACTAGCCTGAGTTTTACCTGAAATGGTGTTAATGACACACAAGATTGGTATACTTAACACATTTTATGTCTTATTTTTCTGCAAAGCTACTTCTCTTTTCCAATTCAGACCTTCGGAAACATAAATCCCCTCGAATAAAAAGTACCTGATGTTGATATTTCCTTTTGAAATGTCATGAAGTCTATGGCCGTCTCTTTGTCTGGCCAGGCATTTAGAACTTCATTGTTTAATTAGAAATGGTATGTAACAATCAAATCCAAGGGCAGAGATAGGTAGGGTAAAGATTTGTGAGTAGGAAAAATTGTGGTTTTCACTAGGGAAAATTAAATTTGGCAGAAAAATCTCAGATAGGATGTGATGAACAGGGGAACACTGGCTCTGAAATAGGTCTGAAGCCAGGTGGGGACCTTGTGCTATCACTTCAACCAGTAACATCATTTCAACTTTTTCTGGTTCATGGCAGTTCATTTATGGACATGGAATACAGTTTCTAAACAGCAATCTCTAAACGTTATAGACTTCAGCTCAATGCTCTATCAAATCAGCCGCTATGCCAAGGTGAACAGCACAAAGCCATTTGACTTTCCCACTCACCGCTAAAGAGCTTATCCTGCATTATTATTAGCATTTCAGTTCCCAGGGACATTCATATGATTATTGGCATGGGTATTGATGCGACGGTTATTGGTTTTATTGTTTTATTTTCAATTTCAGGGACCTGGATGAGAGTTCCCTGGATGATATGAGCTTTGAACAGCATGAGAGAGGTTCTCTGATATCTGTGAACTCCAATGCCACAACAGTGAGCAGTAACAGTAGCAGTAGCGGAGGAAATAAGGTAATAAGCGTTTCATTAAAAATTGCTCGGAGGAATTGGGAAATTTCTTTGCAACTGTTAATGGAATCGATTAAGGTTTTTCACTAAATTTTCTGAATTTTCTTTATACCTATGTGTCTTCTTGTATGTTTTTTTAAAAATTCTACAAATTAAGACTTGACATTTTGATATTTGTACTTGTCAGTAAATGTCTGATCATCTTTCTTTTATTTAAATTATGCTAACTTGATGCAATTTTTTCCCATGTGGCTTTATGTCTGTTATACATGTCTGTTTGCTTCATTGTATTGTTATCTGTGTTGTTACATTTGTTTTATATAAAAAATGATTATCACATTACAAAAAACCTTGACCAGATAAAGACTAGATGTCTCCATGATGTCACCATATGGCTCACTGACAATGTGGGATTTCCAATGATTTTGAGTTGCAGAGGTGGATTTGATATAACCTGGTCAAATCTAGTCAAATCATTTAATCTGATTCTGGACCATGTTGGTCCTAGTGTGAACTCAGTCTGATTGACTGTCCAATTTCATGTATCATACATTTTAAAAGCATTAAAAGGAGGAGAAGGCAGATGAACTAGGAGGAGAAGCTATTTATGCTGGTGATCTAGCAAATAAACCTACAGTTCACATTTAGTATTAATGTGTAGACTGATTGATATGAACCTTGGCTTGTCTGAAAGCTTAGTTAGCAGAGCAATTTAGATTAGACTGAGGCAGAAATGCCAAATGGGTAGCTTTGTAGTGGGTTTGTGGATGGTTGGAACTCGAGCATAAAGAGAGAGAGAGAGAGAGAGAGAGAGAGAGAGAGAGAGAGAGAGAGAGAAATTGTTAAATTACAGGTGAATATGAAGCATTGCTATTTATTTTATTCTATTATTTTTTGGGGAGGAGGAATTTTGAAGAGGGGCCTTATTATTATTAAGACACTTTTGAATTATTATTAACCCTATTGAGACAGTCATTTATTGATAGAGTTCTGACACTTTTGAGATCAGTCATTGTTTCTACTGTTTGCGTACTACAGTATCATGGATGCCAGCATTATTTATAATACTAGTATCTTTGTTTTTATTCCATTGCTTATTTGTTAATACCTAGTTTTGCTGAACAGAAACATATTTCATCATAAGATAAGTAGAAACTAAAAGATTCTGTTTTGTTTCTTACAAGATACAGTTTACACCTTAGTAAATACCAGTAAAGTACAGGTTTCTTTGACTGCTGAGTGAATTGAACTGTACCATGTCAGTTGTATAGCCTGTATGTCTAGCTCTTGTTTACACAGATCTGGGGCCTTGTGTATGTGATTCACCCATGGTGTACTAAAACCTGTCAGTGAGGAGAGTATATCACAAGGCAGGGTTGTGGTACACTAAAATTGGATCACTCCTTACACGTTCTTGGTTTCCATTCATACAATCCAGCCAATTTGCATTCATTGTTATGAGTTATGTAGTCGAATTGTTCCATTTGGTCTGCTCATGGTTTGGTCCTGGATCACACCTGGGTAAAGCCTCTTGCCTTGTGTAAATCTGCCATGACTAGTCTCAGCTGGGACCTTTGAAGGTGTGGGCCCAGATTTCATCTCAACTGGAGTATTGGTTCCTGTAATCCACTCCTGTCAAGCTGCAGATTGAGGTTCGTGAACAAGCGGATGGACACATTTAATTTTAAATGGTAATTGCTACCCTGCGTTCCAGTTGTCTTAAAAGGCAATATTGTCTACTTATCCATTTTTTGATTGACCGTCAGCCCAGAGAATTGGTATTTACAAGGGTATCTAGGAAAACAAGATTATCTTCAGCTGGAATGAAACTGTAGGTGATTGCTGGTTGGAAAAGAATGTGCAAGTCCAAGATGTAAGTTTTCATTTTTGAGCGGGTGTTGTTCTTTAGAATTTTTTTTAGCCGTAAGGAAGCTTTCTTCACATTGGGTAAAAGGTTTACGCTTTTCAAATGGGTATTGAATGAGAGCAGACGTCAGGTAGTTGATGAGTTTTTTTTCAACGATGAAAAGGGAAAGGGCGTAATTCCTTCAGTCTGCATTAGCAAAAAAGCTGATAGTTTGCTTTTTTTAGAATTCTGTGGATTAGAAACTGGAAAGGTGTACATATTTTGGCAAACAAATGCCTTCATAGGTAAGAATCTGCTGCAAGCAGGATATCCTTTTGAAAAGACTAAAAGATATATCTATAAATTGGGATGCAAACTTCTGCAACAGCAAATGGTAGCAAGAAATTGGTAATTTGCCTGTCAGGGTTGGATAGTTTGGAAATAAGAAAAATAGTGATTAGGCTACCAAATGTCTGCAGTGTTGAGCAGCTGTTACAAGATTCATTTTGAAATCATGAGGATACACCAAGAAATTGGAACACAAACCTGCTGCTGAGGTAAACTGGAGAATTTGCCTGTCAGGTATTGTAAAGTTTAGAGATGAGGAAAATCACAATTCAGCAACCAATTTTCTTTGCAAGCAACTTCCACAAGAATAGTATCTTTTGGAAATCTAATAAGATACACCTAGAAATAGGAAAATACATCTACTGGAGTTAGAAATTTTGGAATTTGCCCTTCGGCATAATATGGTTTAGGCATAAGGCAGATAAGCTGCAGTTGGTATGTAGACTCAGCAGAATACAAAATGGGATTTTTTTAATGTTGTTGTTGCAAAGTATTACCAAAACTTGTCTATGATAAACCTGTATTTTGAGGAGTGGGGCTGGAGGAAGACAATGAAGCTGTCCTTAGATCCCCTCAATTTGAATTGCTCTATTCTTGTCAAGTCAAGATCGATAAAGTGCTGAGCTTCCTGTAGGTAAACAAAATCATTTTGGTTTTCAGAAAGCATCCTGTGGACTTGACTGATATAATCTCATTCCTTCCTTTTGTATTTTTCTCACAGACTTGTGAACATTTTCTTTGCATGGCTATGTATTTTAGAATCTTCAGGTTGTAGAATTTGGTCTATCAATGCAGTGCCTCATAAAACCCGATTTTGTGAATTATTCTAGTTTTTTGTGCAACATGTTTTTTGTAGTGATTGCCAAAGAAAAATGTGATTGATGTATGTTTTTCTAATTTTAAAAAAATTATTTAATTTATAGGTCATAGGGTTTAGAGATAAAAAAAATTGTTTTAGATATGTAAGGTACACAGTGGTTTTTCTATGAATTTTGCAGAATTCCTCCCGTTGAATCACCCAACATATGCTTTATCAATCATATGCACCTATGATAATTAATATCATTTTTCAGATGAAGGTATTTTTAGTGTGGTAAATCATAAATGGCATTTTAAGTATGCAGGAATATTTGGTAAATAACATGTGAAATGTGGTCTTATGTTACATCTCTCTTGAACCATTGCCCTTACATCTGAAAATTGAAAACACAGTGGTTACCTTGGCGTAAGTACAAAATAAACAGTGTACTATTTTGGAACCCAGTGGGATGAAAAAGTGAGGCTTAGTGCATTTACATGAGATATAAGATAATAAAGATGGAAGATTCAAGTTTTTTTTTTTTTCATTTTCCGAAAATGTCAAGTTTACATACTGAAGTACTGGAGTCACAGTCAGAAATATGGGAGGTAATCAATTTCAGTATTTAGCTGTTGACTGAAGAAAAAATTACTTTATTCTTGAAGTATTGGAGGTAAAAACGTAAAGCACGACAGCAATGAAATTACTGACAAAGTATGGGTTTGATACATTCAGATGATGAATCAAACCAAACCTGGTTTAGGACTGAATAACATTGCCAGACAATTGAATAAGTATATATACCAAACATTGCACTGTGCTCACAAATGACCCCATTGGTCACAGTCTAGGATTAACTATATTAAAGAAATTAACTTTAAGATGGCAAATTAAATTAATTCAGAACCTCAGATAAAAGGTACAGTGATTTGGTCGTCCTGTGACATTATGTAACCCTAACCCAGTCTGGTTTTATTTTCGTCAGTGTACAAGACCTTTTAACACAACCAGGAAGCTCAATGCTGAGTGAGTTGTAGAAACCAAAAGCTAAAAATGCTTTAGTGTGATGAGATGTGGAGGATCACTAATGCACTGGCATTTACATCCAGCCTAGCGCAGTCTGGGAGAAATTGCCCAGAATAAATTTTCTGTAAATGCCATATGGTAACACTTAAGATGTTAGCAAAAATAATGATATTTTTGTCATGAGTTATGATTTTTAATGTGAATTAAGAAAAAAAACTTGCAGCTCTTGTTTGGACCTTGGATTAAACGATTAAGATATTCAGAATAATCAAATATTGCTTCTTATTCTATTTGTCGACATGATGTGATATTTCACTTTAATTTTGCGATTTCCCCAACTGGTTGTTTAGATTTAAGCTCTTTTAAGGTAGATCGGTCGTTACGTAATTTGACGATTTGCGCAATTTCAACGCATCNTATTTGGTCGGTGACCCCCAATTTTTTTTGCAAATTTTTAATGTACTTGGGTGTCTCTTCAAACAAAAAAAAATTTAAAAAAATTCGAACGTTGGAACATGTAACGACCGATCTACCTTAAGGTATAAGAGGCAGTCTGCTTATGTGAAATTTTAGATAAAGACTAAGTCGACAGCATCATCAAAGTAACCCAGGTGGGCCAAGTTCCACTATTTAGAGCCAGCTGGTACATATTGCCATACAATGCAGCTGGGGCAGTGAGAAGCATAAGGCTTTTGGTCAAATTGAACTTAGAGATATGGATGGTACTGTAAATTCAAAGGTGTATTCAGAAACCTTGGGATTTTTAAACCAAAAATGTTATGATGGCATCAGTTTGCCTCATGAATAGGAGATAGAGAACCTGCTGTCTTCCCTTATATTAGAAAAGTTGTATATGTGTTTTGTTTAATTATTGTCCTTCGTTAAAATGGAAGTTTTGTTGATGATTGAATTTCAAGAAACTTTCATTGAAATATTTTTTTCATTTAATTTCTGTTAATTTTGTATCATGCAATGATTTATTAA